CCTCTATATCTGATTTTGAAAATGACGGTGATGATAAAGATTTTCATAGCGAAATAATGGAAATGGAGTGAATTGTAGCTTGTCGGGGGGTGATATTTTTACGCATCTTTCGTTCTAAATTTACCAAGGTAGTATGTGAAAAACCACCTGACGTACAACAAAATAAGTATAATTTTAGTTAGATCATCCACCTTGTTACTTTGCACCAAATTTTAAGCATTTTCATTTTTTTTTTTTGTAACTGCTCTTCATGGACCTGGAGAAGGCGTATAGTAACTTTGTTATTAATAAGCGTTTGGAAGTACTTAGTAAAAGCAAATAAAAAGCACTTACGTAAGCATTAGTAATAGCTATATAGATAAATCATTCAATTTAAGGCCGGAAAAATGTTTCAGAAGACCTAAACCCATCAAAGAACTAGAGCAAAGTTGTTGTCTTTTACCAACCCTTTTAGTAATCTTAGAAAAGTGAAAAAAGACGTTGGAAGATACGGAAATAGGCTGTTCACAAAGGGCGAAATTTCCATTTCTAAGAAGAGTCGGCGAGCAGAACGAACTGATGATTAAGAATTAAAGATGAGATGCTAAATGTGGCATGCGACAATGGTCGTATGTAGAACCCTCATTCATATAAAAACAATGTTTAAGCGAAATCTTAGTGTTTGTTCCTTACATATGAAATAAACACTTACAAAAAGCCGAATAACTGTTTTAAATAGCGTAAAGTTTTATGCTTTCTAAGAAATGGATACCGTTAACTTGGTCATTGCTACTGAAAACTGAAAGTATCGGCAACAATGTTTATATTTCTGGCATATTTTTTAGCCTTTAATTTAATAGAACATAACTTAACGAAAGAAGGTCAGGGAATTTTTATTCTTCTGCATCGAATACCAACAAACTCACTAGACATTCATGGCCGACCCTACTATATAAAGATCGTGAACGAATAATATCTCCCATTCATTCCTCAGGTCACCGACCGTCTCGCCAAAATACTCAAAAGGCAAAAAGTTAAAACAGTCTTCAAACCTACAACTAAAGTTGCACAAATTCTTCCTTCCGTCAAAAATTCTCGCCAAGCTCTAGACTGCAAAGGAATCTCAAAACAGGTATTCTGTCCCACTCGGTTGTAGCTAAACATCAACATGAAACCGGTCACACCATTCTGTTTGAAAATTCACAAGTTCTGACCAAAGGACCACATTTCTATAACCGGAACATCCGTGAAGCTATCGAAATCCATAAATGTCCTCATAATATCAGTCGAGACAATGGTTATTATCTGTCAAGTATTTGCAAGCGCACTTATCTTAGCAAGTATTAGTAACACCCACCCACCCGCCCTCTCCTTATTCTAACGACAAACTTTGTTCCTCTACAGTATGAGTTACACCTTTCATTCAGAGCTGATCAAATTATTCACTGAAATGGAGCCGGGGTGGGTGGGCGGGGTTAATTATTTGTTCTTCTGTAGAGTCGGAATGGGATGGGAACTAATACAATCTAGGCTGTAAAAGTTTTAAAAAAGCTCAGATCGTAACATTTTTTGTTGTACTATTTGCTATAAGATTTATTTGTTATTTCAGAAGAAAAACAAAATAAGAGAACGGGTGGGTGGGCGGGGATAAGTTAAATAATAATAAAAAATATGAAAAACGCGGTTTATAGTTTTTTATAGTTGATTTAAGATTTTATGAAAGAAAATTAAATTTCTATATATTTTTTTGTAGACAATCAAAAATATGAACATGAAGTGAGAGTACAAAATGAACACGTTTATGTTTGCTCCGGGATATTTGTATTGGGGGTTGCATAATCTGTTAGATACTACTAAATGTGACTTACCGTGTTTTCTCGGTAATATTCTAGCAGGTATTTTTCTCAAATGATTTTTAACACATGTAATACTTTCAATATTTATTTTCAATAGATAAAAAACTGGATAAAACACAACAAATAACAGTCACCTATTAGTAACAAAAATAGATATATAACCAGTGGCGGCTCGTGACTTTTTCTGTTGGGGGGGCAAAATTAATACACAGTATTATGCTAAATTTAAAATTTATGCTAGGTAAAAATTATTGTTTCTTTTTATTAAAAATTTAGAAAAATGTCAAGTTAGAGGTCCGTTAGCCAGAAATTATTGATTGAAAATTGATAATTGAAAATCGATAATTTCTGTTTACCATCTGGAACCACGAGGAGGTGGACCTAATTCCAGACTTCCCCAACGGTGATGGGGCGAACTCAAAGTTCCTTTTAAATTTGTTGACATAAGAAATATAAATAAAATTTTGTTAATCGCGTGTCCAGTAGATGCAATAGGTATCCCCCACTTTAAATTATTTTCAATTTTTTTAATTAATGTTTCTATATATAAAATCCATACGTCTTTCTTTGTTACGAACAAAATGTTCTATAACTAGTTCATTGAAATTCGTGGTTTCTTGCACTAATTTTTTTTCTATTGAACACATTGCCAAGGCACACAATCTTTCTTGACACATTGTATTTCGTAAAAATGTCTTTATACGTTTTAACGTCGAAAAACATCGTTCGCATTCACTTGTCACCATCGGTAATGTGCAAATAATTTTCAATAATTTTTTTGTTTCTGAAAATACGTCTAATAAATTGTTTTCATACATAAACTTCAAGAATGTTAAGGCACCATTTGCTGTCGAAAAATCGGGATGATTATAAATAACGTTTAACTCATTTTTTAACACATTAAAATTTAAATCATATTTTGTAGCACATAATTCAACTTCTTTTGATGGAAAATTTAGTTGAAAATATGAAAATAAGCTAGTCTGAAACAAATTTGCTGCTGTAATATAATCTGCTTCTAAAAATCGATCATTTATACTAAATTTAATATTGTCACAAATTTCTTTAGCAATTGCAATTTTATTATCATTAAAACGAGACCGCTTTTTTGAAGATTCACCCTCTTCGTTTTCTTCTCGATAATAATCGTAGTCGATAGAATCTGTTACATGTTGTATGGCAAGTTTAAAAGAAGTAATATTTTTCTGAAGTTTAATTAAGTCCATTTCGCGAATTTGAAGTTGGTTGAAAAGTATCTCGGTACTAGGCATGATTCTGTGAAAGAAGTATAACCAAAAATTAAAATCGTAATCTTCTAATGTTTTCCGTAAACTACTTGCCTTGGCAATTGTTAATTTATCACTATTTTTATCTTCCATTATAATTTGAAAGCAGTTAATCAAATCATTTTTAAAACTATGTACAGTATTAACTATTCGTGACTTAAAGTTCCATCTAGTCGGACAATTTCTTGGTAATCTTTTAGAAACGATATTATCAAGTATTTTTATACGTTTAGGAGATCTTGAAAAAAACGAGGAAAATGATTCTAAATTTGAAAAAAAAATTCTTACTTGGCTGTGTGCTGATGCCGCCTTTTCTATAATTAAATTCAACTGGTGAGCATAGCAGTGAATAAACTGAGCTTTAGGGTAATGTTCCTTGATTTTTGCTTGTACCCCATTTTGTCTTCCACTCATAACCGAAGCACCATCATAAGACTGAGATATAAGTTTTTTTGGATTTTGATTGATTTCAAGTTTTTCGAGCTCATTTAAAATAATACTAGAAATACAATCAGCTGTGTGATCTGTTGGATTAATGAATCCTAAAAATCTTTCAAATATTTTACCTTTCAATTCATATCTAACGACAAAAACCAGCTGCGACTGTGAAGCTACATCTGTAGTTTCATCAGCTAAAATAGATATATAGTCCGCTTCCAAAATTTCATCTTTGATTAAATTAATACAAACAGCATAAATTGAATCAAGTAGTTCGTTTTGTATGGTTTTTGAAAGACCCATAAAAACGCGATTGTTCGTTTTTTCTATATGAGATTTTAATGTAGTGTCAAGCTCTGCCATTAAATTAATTAAACCTCTGAAAATTCCCGGATTTGTAGAATCATGCGTTTCATCATGCCCCCTTAAAGCCAACTCAAAGACTCCACAAAATTTTATACCGTCAATCAGTTTACTTAAAATGTATCTATTCTGTTTTACCTGATCATTATGTTTCTCGACGTTCTCTCTATAAGCACTATTTAACTGATTTCTTATGTCTACTTTACCTAAGACTGCGAACGATACGTTGAGATTTAAGTGTTTTTTACTCGAGCGATGCTTTTTTACTTTTTCTCCCAAATGTTTTAAATCCGTGATTCCGGTTTCAGTCCAAGCTTTATCAACATCTCCGTTATTCATAAGGGTACATACAAAACAGAAAAGGGCGTTTTTCGCGTTGCAACCACATAACCACCACTCACTTTGATACATAGTCTTATTAAATTTTCGATGCACGAGTTTGTCTTTAACATTAGACGACACAGCAATGTCCAAATCGGGTCTTGGCGGTCCAACGTTTTTTATTAATAGTTTTTCATCATGGCTTAATTTATTTTCAGATTGTAGCCGCAAAATTCTCTCAATCGAATTCATATTGATATTATTGACAACTCTACAACACAGTTTTTTAAGTTTCTTAAAATCACTGCAAACGCACAGAAAACTAAAACTGACGAAGTTAGCAAATTTCACTCGACCGTTTTGTTTCAAAATCGATGACTAAATCGATAAAAGTGTATGCAATCGTATATGCATTTAAGTACTTAAGTTGCAGTACATAATTAAGACGAAGCGATTACTATGCCCTGCGGAGATGTTGCAATATCGTGCATTTGTGCATATAATCGCGAAGATTGCCAAGTACGGGTCAATGAAAATATTCACAATTTGGCAACATGCAGGACGGGCAAAGGTGTATGATACCCCGCCGAGATGATGTCAGATTGTGTTCTAAACATAGGCAACTCGTAGGTTTCGTAATTAAATGCATTTTGATAATTAATAGCGCGAAATTCTCAGATTTAAAAATGTGCTTTCATTTTGGTGGGGCATTGCCCGTTTGCCCTTCCTGCACCAGCCGCCACTGTATATAACTATATAAAAATCTTTAATACAAAATCGTTTCATAGGTAATAATCTTTTTGTGTATATTACTGATTGGCAAGCCATTCAGCCTCGAGTAAAACTCTTTGCACGTTTTGATTTTAAACTTGTTTATAAAAAACTTTCTAAAAACATTTCGCGCCAACTCTATTAACAACGGCATTTCTTGAGAACTCTGTTTTTCTGAATAACCATCCGTTTCATCATTTAATTTAGGATGGACGAAATAATGTCGTAATAATTTAATACTATTCGCACAATAATGACTGCGCTGTTGGAGAAAACGTTCTAAATTCATATTAACATCGTACGCAAACACAGGCACTATATTTTTTGTGTAACGTTGTGGAACACCCATCTGTACGTCCATGTGCAAAAGAATTTTGAACAATTCGCAATAACCGAACTTTTTATATATAATTTGCAAATCCAACTCTCCAATATTCAAACCATAACTTAATAGATAACAGTAGAGTTGCGTTATGGCTGTTTCGTCATATCCCAGCGCTATCAAATCCTGAAATATCTCGCTACTATTCACACTATTAATAAATGTAATCACAGTCGGTTTTAATTCGCTTTTGAGCATTATGTTTAAGTTTTCTAAAGAAATCGGCTTGCCCTTACCACCCGTGCAATAACTATCCGAGAGTATGTGTTTTGAAAACACCTCATTTATAAAATGGCCAAATTTTTTAATAATGAGATGCAGACAATCAACGTTCATAGAACACAATAAACGAAAGTAGAGACATAAAGACTCATATTGAACTGTTATTTTAATAGGGCATTCAATAATGTGGTAGAACAGTGGAGATTTCGCCTCAGCAAGTTTTAGTAACACATCCAGGCACAACTCTAGGTTTGAGTATTGATCATAAATGTACAAAAATAGAGTTTCTTGTGCTTCAAAAGAGTTATTGTATAAAACAGACCATTCAAAATGGCAGACTGCAGGTTGTGCTCCATACGCTAACAAAGTCATTACTAGTTCACTTTGACGTATACGCACAGTTATGTCAAGGGGGGTCCTATGACAAGAAGTCACAAAATTAACATCAGCCCCCCGTTCTATTAGAAGTTTGGCTGACTTATAGTAATGACGTTCTAAGGCACGGTGTAGCGGTGAGTCCCCTTCAAAACAAACCTCATCAATGCAGGCACCTTTTTTTATTAGTTCGTATGTAATGTATTCATCTCTCCATATATCATTATAGCGGGCATGATCAAGTGCAAGACCCAACGCTGTTTCGCCTTCTTTGTTCTTAAACTCGAGTGGAAAATCCGGTATGGATAACAAATAGTCGAAGACTTCGATGCTAAAAAAAACGCACTTGTAGCTATTTATGAATATTTTAATATTTTGCTAGTCGACATACCTCTCTTGGATAACCGCTATTTGGAGTAAGTTGTTGCCATTTACGTCTCGGACGTTGTTCCACTTAGGAGAGTCGAGAAGGTCGCTGAAGATTTCCAATTGGTCATGGGCGGCGGCGGATATTAAACGAGACTTTTTTTTAATCTGGACAGAAATTGAGGTTATGTTGTATCACTTAGAATACGTTGTGTCGATAATTACCAGTGGAGGTGCCCTTTCGTCACAGCTGCAATATTTGCGATAATAGTCTTCGTGGTCGTAGGAGTCCTCAGAGTCCGAAGAAGACATATTGCATTTTTATTCAAAATGTGTTCTTTGTAGTGCGTGTTTTCGTTTATATTTACCATACGTTTAATATCAAAGTTTTGATGTAATTAACTTTGTTTTTGGTAAAAACCACAAGTCACTGGGTCAGTGGCCTGTGGTAATGATAAATGGTAAAAACCCACGGTAACATTCAAATTCAACAAACATTCCACCTAATTGCGACATGCGCACAAAGATTTGAAAACTCGAAAAAGGTAAGATTTTACCTTACACAAATATGTGCCAAAAACCTTAAGTTTCCAAAAAATACGGAAGTGTGCAAACGAATTTACTAAACTAGTGCCTAGTAAAAACAATGATACACAATTATAGGAAAGCTGACAAAGCATGGAGGGTTGTCTACATTTTTTCAAATGCAGTTTCGAATTTTTATTTTTTGGGCGCGAAATGTAATTTTTAGGCCGCAAGTGTAATTATCATTTGTCAAACTGTGTAAACAAAGGTAGCTAGATTAAGTTTAGTTGGTTTGGTAGTTAGAAAAAAGTTAGATAAGCGTAATTAATCTTGCTGTTTTTCTAACCGTAAATATGTGAATTTTAGACCGATGCTAACATGTCGTGCAAATTTGATTTACTGTTTGTAAATTCACAGTTCATTAACAGAAACAACAATTTTTTGAATTTTTCGCGGGCTTTCACATGTCAATTTTAAGGCGGGATGTTGGAGTTATCTTCCCACTGTCCCATAAAATGTAAAATGATAAGTTATACACTTGTAATAATTGTAACATTTATTTTCAATAGAGAAAATACTAGGTCAAACATAACAAATATTTCCACGTATTAATAAAAAAATATATTTGTAACAAAATAAAAAATCTTTAATACAGTATCGTTTCATAGTTAATAATCTTTTTGTATAGATTGCTAATTGCTAGATCATTGAGTCTCGAGTAAAACTCTGAGCACGTTTTAATTTTAAACTTTTTTATAAAAAACTTCCTAAAAATATTTCGCGCTAGTTCTGTTAATCGGGGCATTTCTTGAAAATCCCGTTCTGGTAAATAACCACCTGTCTCATCGTTGTGACAACTCATTTCATTTAATTTAGGATGGAAGAAGTAACGTCGTAATTCATTAATACTATTCTTACAATAATTATAAGGCTTTTGGAAAAAACGATCTAAATTCATATTAATATCATACATAAAAACAGCTATCACATTTTTAATGTAAACTTTTGGAATGCCCATCTGTACGTCCATGTGTAAAAGAATTTTGAACAATTCGCAACACCCAAACTTTTTATATATAATTTGCAAATCTAACTCTGCAATATTTAAACCATAACTTAATAAATAACAATAAAGTTGAGTTATGGCTGTTTCTTTATATCCAAGTTCGATCAAATCCTGAAATAACTCGCTTCTGTTCACATTATTAATAAAAGTAATCGCAGTCGATTTTAATTCGCTTTCAAGCATCAGATTTAAATTTCTTAAATAAATAGGTTTGCCATCACCACCCGTGTAATCAGTATCTGAGAGTACGCTTCTTGAAAACAACTCATTTATAGAGTGACCAAATTTTTGAATGACGAGTCGCAAACAATCAATGTTCATGGAACACATTATGCGAAAGTAGAGAGACAAATATTCATACTGAATTGTTATTTTAATAGGGCATTTAAGAATGTGGTAGAACAGGGGAGATTTAGCTTCAGCAAGTTTTAATAACACATCGAGGCGCAACTCCAGGTTTGAGTACTGATCAAAAATGTACAGACACAGAGTTTCTTGTTCTTCAAAAGAGCCATTGTAAAACACGGACCGTTCAAAGTGGTAGACCGTAGGTTGTGCTCCATATGCTAACAAAGTCATTACTAGTTCAATTTGATTTCTGTTCACGGTCATGTCAAGAGGGCTCTCATTCCTATTAGAATTAACACAATTAACGTCAGCCCCCCGTCGTATAAGAAGTCTGGCTGACTTATAGTAATGACGTTCTAAGGCACGGGCTAGTGGTGATTCTCCTTGAAAATAAACCTCATCAATGCAGGCACCTTTTTTTATCAATTCATATGTAAAGTATTCCTCCCTCCATATATCATTATACATATAAGAATCAAGTGCAACCCCCAATGCTGTTGTGCCTTGTTTGGTCACAATATCAAAAGGAAAATCCGGTATGGATAACAAATATTTGAAGGATTTGTACCTACAAAACGTGCACTTAGGTATTTATAAATATTTTCAGGTGATATACCTCTCTTGGCGAGCTGCTATTTGCAGTAAACTGTAACCCCAAGAATCGTGGACGTTATACCATTTCGGGGAGTCGAGGAGGTCCCTGAGGATTTCCACTTGGTTGTGAAGGACGGCGCATATCAAACGCGATTTTTTTTTAATCTGAGAAAAATTGTGGTTATGTTGTGTCAGATTATGCGGATGTGGATAATTACCAGTGGAGGTCCGTTTCCTTCCTCGTAGTCATTTAACCAATACTCATCGTGCGAGTAGGAGTCATCAGAGTCCGACGAAGACATATTCAAGTGAATTCCGTTGAATTTTGTCACAAAGTAACGTGTTTTATATATTATAAAAACTTTTTTATATTACTTAGGTTCTTATTTAAACCATTGTAGCTGGTCTACTAACTATCGTATTATGTGTAAATTTGGAATTAATTATATTCGTTCTTGGTCATCGTAAAAACCACAAATCAGTAGGTGAGTGGTCCGTGGTAATGGTAAGTGGTAAAACCCATGGCAGTCCCATGGTGGGATTCTACTTCCATGTAAGAACCCAAACATTCCACCATTTCCACTTAATCGTGACATGCGCACAAACACAGTACAGAGATCATTCAGTTGACCCATTTTCATGGGTGGTCGTTTATCTTGTGACCGTATGAGGGCGCACAACGCAAGATACTTCTTACGCAAGGTACTTCTCTATCTTACACATTGGGACATTGAACTGCGTTAGTTTGGTTATAAGTGACTTTGTAAAATATTTGAAATTTGGCAGTTTAGTTGCATTGGTTTTGATGATTTAAGGTTGATCTTCCGGTGTAATTACTGCAGTCAAGTGTAATTTTCACAGAAACATTCTATAAAGCATTGTTCATGTTTTGATCTGACCATTGTTTAGTGTTTAATTTTTTTGTAACAAAATAAATGTATATTAGCGTTTTCTAATCTAATAACGTTGAATTTTACAGCCATCAAGACATGGAAAAGAAATTAATGAAACGTAAAATCGTAATCAGGGAAACGGGGCCAAATATGAATTTCAACACGGCATCTCTTAATTCATTATTTATTGTAATAGACTGTGTGGTTTCTAAGATCAATTACTTTAGTCACACTATTTTTAATTCTTTTCCAAAAATTCATTTGCACAAAGTGTAGTAAATTGTGTAGACGAATCAATTCTAAAATTTTCAAATGAAGCTTTTGTGATACTTTTTAAATTGTGTGGCGACATCTAGAAATAGTTTAGGCAACGACCACCGATGACACAAAATTTTATGCACATTATCAACCGGCGATTTTTGTCGACCCTTGCGTTATATGCCCGAATATTATTAATATAGGCGGTGTGTAGCCGTTTCCGAATGTAAGTATTACCGAGAAGATTATCCAAGAATATTTATCCTACCTGTATTACGTCTATCTCGCGCAGAATGAAAATTAAAACACGCGATTGAGTTACTCCTGCTGAGCACTGTCGCAACGGGACCGCAGTCCAGCTGATTGAGGCGGCTAGGACGTATGGTTTCCATGGCAACGGCGTAAACAAAACGTCTAAATTAGCCATGATTCGGCCTCTGTCTCCGGCTTTTACCAGCAACAACATATCAAATATATAAGACACACATCTTTAGGTGTAAGTGGATGTAAGTTTTTTCTATTATAAAACTGAATATGATTTTCTATTCCCACATTCTTTATTACTTTTACAGTTGTTTCTTTCGGTAAAATCCAGATTACAACATGTTGGGATTGTTGGGTTTTATTTAGGTTCTCAATTAATGACTTATTGTTAAGATCGAAACCTGGTCCGTTTTGTAAATTATCTGCAATAATTCAATAAATCGATCAAAATAAAACAAGAGCGTAATTAATTATAATAAATTTAATAAACATGCCAGTTCGGTTGTTACAAAAATGAGAAAAATTGGACAAATGTAACTATATTAAAAACAAATATGTTTTGAAGATGGTTTTTAAGATAACTATACCACTAACTTTAGATATATATTTTTTTTACATAAACGTGAGACACTTGTTTGCAAATTTGATTTTCTTCTGGATTACACTGATGGGGCGTTTTGACTCTTGATTTTTCTTCGACTCCTGTAAAGATGTACTTATTAAAAGACCTAAGTTTTCACAAACTATTATTAGTACAAGTAACAATTAGGCAATAATGAGTAAAATAGTCATTTTTGACCACTATATATAGAGCTCTGATTTAATTTGAAGATAAAAAAATATACCTCTGCCAATTTACTTTTGGAAGACAATTATGTTGAGAAACCATTGTTAAGTTTCAGGAGAAAAATCATGTATTATCTTGGTGATCCTTTCCAACTTTTCATCAGAAAATTTGTCTAGACCAAGGCCCAAACTTTACGTTGTGCGCTTGTCACGGTCCAAAAATACATCAAAAACCATTTGTAGCTGTTGCGGAAATTTCATTTCTTTCTTAATAAATTGTTGAATTCTTCTTCTAAAATTTACCTTATAGAAATACTTCATTTTTTGGGACGAAAAAATGATCGTCCAAACTCTGTTGAGACCATGTTTCCTAAAATATTTGATCACTTTATTTGACTAGTTCATTTGTTGATTCCAAGATTAAAATACCTTCATGAGGCCCTGTGATAGATTTTGTAGAATACAAAAGACGGCATATTACAATTTTGGAAATACTTTTTCATGCTTGACACTTGAAACAAAAAAACCTCGTAGGCCATAATTTTTTTGGAATATAGGATGTTTATGAACTCTCTGAGAAATGTCGCTGCTTAAAATTTGTACGCTAGTGATTGCTAAGGCTGGTAATTTGTCTGTTACTGAAAAAGTGTATATATAATGAAATGATACAAAAATAGATCCACTATTATTATTAGTATTTAACAACAAAATAATGGCAGATTTTACTCACAGTTACACATTTGGTAAGTTTAGTCTTGTATTCGAACGTTGCTTCAAGGAATCACAATTCTTGCGTCAGTTTATCTAAGCATCAGTTCTTGTCCTCTTGATATTTGTAAGAGTTTTATTAACAATTCCAATTAATACATCCAATTTTGTTAGAATGCTAAAACCAAAGTGTGAATAGTGGGAATTTTTGATTTATTTTGTTACCTTCGTTACTTCGCACATTGTGTTGGATTTCGTAATGGACCTAGACGCGTAGACGATATAAATAAACTGAATTATTCTTTTGCAGCCGTAATTTAAAATGTCCTGGAAAATTAAATTTATTTTGTTTTCACAACAAATAACGTATTTACCTAAAAATATTTCCATTTCTTAGTTGTGGTATCCTTCTCTCCGAATTTCTTACAAATCGATTCAGCAAATTTGTAAATAATAGAAATACTAAACGGTACCATGCATCGCGTTTTTTTTATTCAATAATAGACAAAACACAATAATTGTTATGCATGTTTTTTATAAAAATTTTGTTTTATCGGCGATTGTCAGCGACATTAATAACTTTTCCATGCTTTTTGTTTAAAATCAAAAATTAAAATTCATTTAAATTTAACATTTATCGGTTACAATTTCGTATTGGAGTTACAAATAATGGAATATTTTGTAATCACTCGTGACCAGACGACTAGGCTGAGGGGATGAAGTGATGTAGAAGAGTTTTCAACAAGTGTAAGAAGAATATAACGTTTTATTTTACAGTTAACGCCGCAACTTATAATTAAGGATACTGGAATAGGTGAATACATTCGTCCGGGTAGACGATACGTTTGATATGGTGCAAATATTTATAATAGTGCTACGCAGAGCTTCTGTTCCCAGTTTTTGGTTTTTAATTATATGGCGAGCTATCTCATACCATGTTCAAATTCAAACCAAACATGTTAAAATATTTTTCCACAAGAACAAATTATTGTTTCTGGATACGATAACAATTTACAGACTTTAAATCATTATTTAAATTAATTAAAAACCTCGGAATAAACTGCAATTTCTCTTCGGATTCTTTGGGATATAATTAGGTTAGTTTTTTGAACATTGTTCTTCATACATCGTCCGTTTTAATCAGACACGATTCTCAAACAAGAACATTCTGCTTACTACATTACACTGCATTTGGACCGTTTGAGGAAGTTTCTGTTGGGCCGTTTCCTTGTAAAGGAATGGTGCCCGGTTTGAGCGCCGGCTCTTGTTAAACATTTTACAATATTTTTGTACGATTTTTCGGAAGCCACGTCAAAAGGTGTTTTTCCGTCATAATCAGCGCGATTGATTTCGGCCCCAACTGTCGCCAAATATTCGACAACTTTTTCGTGACCGTTTTGTGATGCTAGGTAAAGTGGTGTCTCACCGTTATAATCAGAACGATTGATTTCGGCGCCGACTGTCACCAAGTATTCGACAACTTTTTCGTGACCGTTTTGTGAAGCTATGTGAAGTGGTGTCCAACCGTCATTATCAGCGCGATTGATTTGGGCGCCGACTGTCGCCAAGTATCCGACAACTTTTAAGTGACCATTGCAAGAAGCTATGTAAAGTGGTGTTGCACCGTCATTCTTAGGGCGATTGATTTCGGCGCCGAATGCCGCCAAGTATTCGACAACTTTTTCGTGACCGTTTTGTGAAGCTATGTGAAGTGGTGTCCGACCGTCATTAATAGCGCGATTGATTTCGACGCCGACTGTCGCCAAGTATTCGACAACCTTTTCGTGACCGTTCAAAGAAGCTACGAAAAGTGGTGTGATGCCTATTTCTTCAGCGCAATTGATTTCGGCGCCGACTGTCACCAAGTATTCGACAACTTTTTTGTGACTGTTTCGAGAAGCTATGTGTAGTGGTGTCCATCCGTTGTTATCAGCGCGATTGATTTCGGCGCCAACTGTCGCCAAGTATTCGACAACTTTTTCGTGACCGTTTTGTGAAGCTATTTGAAGTGGTGTTCGACCGTCATTATTAGCGCGATTGATTTCGGCGCCGAATGTCGCCAAGTATTCGACAACTTTTTCGTGACCGTTCAAAGAAGCTATGAAAAGTGGTGTCGCACCGTCATTCTTAGCGCGATTGATTTCGGCGCCGAATGTCGCCAAGTATTCGACAACTTTTTCGTGACCGTGTTGTGAAGCTATGTGAAGTGGTGTCCAACCGTCATTACCAGCGCGATTGATTTCGGCGCCGAATGTCGCCAAGTATTTGACAACTTTTTCGTGACCGTTCAAAGAAGCTACGAAAAGTGGTGTGATGCCCCTTTCTTCAGCGCAATTGATTTCGGCGCCGACTGTCACCAAGTATTCGACAACTTTTTCGTCACCGTTGTGTGAAGCTATGTGAAGTGGTGTTCGACCGTCATTATCAGCGCGATTGATTTCGGCGCCGAATGTCGCCAAGTATTCGACAACTTTTTCGTGACCGTTCAAAGAAGCTACGAAAAGTGGTGTGATGCCCCTTTCTTCAGCGCAATTGATTTCGGCGCCGACTGTCACCAAGTATTCTACAACTTTTTCGTGACCGTTCAAAGAAGCTATGTGAAGTGGTGTCCAACTGTCATTATTAACGCGATTGATTTCGGCGCCGACTGTCACCAAGTATTCGACAACTTTTTCGTGACCGTTTTGTGAAGCTATGTAAAGTGGTGTTCGACCGTCATTCTTAGTGCGATTGATGTCGGCGCCGACTGTCGCCAAGTATTCGACAACTTTTTCGTGACCGTTAAAAGAAGCTGCGTAAAGAGGTGTGCTACCGTAATTATTAGCGCGATTGATTTCGGCGCCGACTGTCGCCAAGTATTCGACAACTTTTTCGTGACCGTTCAAAGAAGCTACGAGAAGTGGTGTATCTCCGAACGTACTAACACAATTGATGTCAGCACCAGATCTTACGAAATGCTCAACGATTTTTAAATTACCATTTTGACAGGCCAGCCACAGAGGTGTTTCAGCATATTCTGCAGTAATAATTTCCTCTTCGCACCAAAAATTATTCAACTCTTCTTCTGTGAAGTGTTTACACAAGTCGTCGTAACCCAGTAGAGCAGAATAATATATAACATTAATTATGTCATCGTGAGATTGTCTCAACTCATCCTTTTTTGTTTGTAGTAATTGTATTTGTGCTCCTAGGCTCTCACTTTTTCGGGCATAAGACAAAGGAGTCGCATCTAACAACTTATCACGTTCGCCAGCATCGTTCTTTCCTTGCAAATACGTTATCGTTTCAAAGTATAATTTGGTTTCCGTTTTTTTATCGAAATTGCTATTTTTATGCACAATACACTTGTCTTTTACACGCGTTACTTTTACACGCGGATGTCTTTGCCCCCATGAGGAAATTAAATGTAAAACACTTCTCCCACCCATATCTTTGCGTTTTAAAATTTTGTCGTCGTACGATTTAAGTAACTCGTAACGTTTATACAATACGGCAATGTGACCTTTTGAGTTTTTGGCTAACAACATGTCAAAAAAAAAGCGAACGTTGTTATACCTCGCGTCGAATAATATGTCCGAAATCAAACCTTTAGAGTTATTAATATTGTTTGAAAAGTATCTAGCAACTAGATACTCTGCGAACGAACTGTGCACAAAACGTGGAATATCATTTTGAAAGTCATTTACAAGACCCAGTGAGACATAATTTCGTAAAAGTTTTTGTACACATTTTTCGTAATCAATATTCAATCGCTGCATAAATTCGTCGTTAAATATTACTCTAAAGGACACACGTTCGTAATATTCTGCAGCCTTTCGTTTTTTTTCACAGACTATAACTTCCATTTGGGGATTTCTTAAATCGTATCCAATTTTGTCTTTGTAAAATTTATTAAATTTTTCGTGAATAAAATATTCGTAAAGGTCAGTCAAGACGAATGTGTTATCCATAAGTTTCAAATATTTTTCGCTATTTTCACGGAACAGCTCGGTAAGCATGAATATTTGCAGAGGGATACCTAGTATATCTATGTGTTCTATAATGGCAAAAGACGATTTGATTTTTTCGAGCGTTACGTCAATGCTGGTTTCTGAATTAAAAGATTTTAGAGGTTTTCTGATATATTTTTCTTGTTCTCGTTCGTTAAATTGATTTATACCAAGTGACAACAAATTGAATTTTTTTTCTAGAGTGGTTTTCAAATGTCGTCTGCTAGTAACCCACTGAGGGAACCCTTTTATTGAAAGATCGAGAATTATATTTAAAGCGGCATCTAAATTGTCATTTAAGATTTCATCGAGTGCGTCCCACAAGTAAATTACGTTGTTTTTCTTTACACACATTTCGTAAAAGTTTCGATCTAGTTTTTCAAGCGACCCATATTTTTCATTTGTAATGAATTTTGCAAATAAATCTGAACAATTTTCTGCTTCAGAGAAATTGTGATTGCGAAAAAATAAATTAACATCTTTGGCACTAATTAAAACCGTCCAATATTCGCGCGAACATTTATTTTTTAAGCTTTTCACTAGCTCGGTTTTACCCATTCCCGGATCTCCAATTATAAGATTGATGTTATAATCTAACCGAGAAGACCACAAGGCATTTTCTTCGGTAGGATGTTCGTCGGGCAATTTGTAAGCCTCTACATCACTAACATCACCTTTGCTACATAGCCTTTCTAACTTTCCATCATTCAAAACTTTAAAATAGTGAAACTGTTTTGTTTGTTTGTGCTGGTTATAAATTTGTTGAAGTTCAGAATCATTATAGTGTCTGGTACCAACGTAAACTATGTTGGCAAAACTTGATTTATCAGAGCTAAAATTATATTTGTTGTTGTTTAAATTAGAATGTAAACCAATTTTTTTCCCCTTATCGACGTAATTTCTGTTATTAAAGTTCGGTTCATTAACAATAAAGTCATTATTTGTTACATTTTCGCCATTCTGATTGTGTTTCACTAAGAAGTTATTAATGTCAATTAATTCACATTTCTCGAGTTTGCTTTTAACCTTGTCTAAATTATTAGCACCATTTAAAATAATAATTGTGTTTTGGTGAGCTTTTTCTAAATATGTATTATCGATGACATTTCGCGAAATGTACCGTTCTATATACGGTTCAGGTAGTGTTTCATTTTCCCCTCCTATACGGCATGGACCGTTCAGCATTTCAGATAGATTATCAGTTGTAACATTTTGGTAAAAATCTTCGCTATTGCCAAACGATGTTACAAGATCAAGTTCGCCCTTTCCCTGAATCGAAATGGTAAAATTTTGCATTATATTTTTACGAATTTCGGGCTTCAAACTCAAGTCTGACAGATTTTGGAAGACGGAATACTTTTTCACCCATTCTGCATCTTTAGTTCCGCCAACCAAAACGAATTTTTTGTCGGGACACAGCTGTATTATATTTTTCATCTTTTCCCATGCACGTAAAATTAATGGACATTCGTCCATTAGCCACAAAAGTTGAGTGAACGCTTTTGGATCTATGGTGCCGATGTCGGTGTCATTAATATGTCCGAGAGTAGGTAGATATCTTCTTCGAATTTTATTTAATTTCTTAAAGTCAATAGTTTTTTCCTTTCCAACATCACCCCACAGTTGCTTAACCGTTTCGACTGATTTGTCTTCAATCAGTGTGACATCAAAGAAGGAAATCGCTTCCCGGAAAATTTTCATTTTGTCATTAACTGGACCGAAAGATAGACACTCAGTATGAGAGGACAGAAGGTGCAGCGCAAGTACCAGCTGCGCCCAGTTTTTATCCAACTTTTCTTTCTTCCCATCTTGGGCGTTCCACTCAGAAACTGTTCTGAGGAATTTACCGAATGTTTCGTCATCTGAACAATATGTAGTCTTGAACTTGTTAGCGGTTATTTTTTTCAGAATATCACAATTTTCTTGGTCGGTATAGAGAAAAAACTTGCGAAAAAAATCCTGATATTCTTGAATTCTAGGAATATTCTCTACTGTCGATTGATCATCTACTATTACAAACTGATAAACGTGACTAATATTTTCTGAAATGTCTGAGCTAACTTCTCGTTTAATCAGCTTGACGTAAAATCCTTCGCCCTCAAGTTGGAATGTTGCGTTGTCGGGAGGGTTAAACGGGCGGTTTGTGAACAAAATTAGTTCATCTATTTTTTGCTTAATTTTTGTGTTACTTTCATGGTATTTTCTAATACTGAAATCTCCTTTTACGGTTCGCAGATTTTCTAGAGAGAGTAGTTTCCTTTCGGTGTGTTTCAGCTGTACCGCTTTAACTTGAATGTCGTTTCCCTTATCCGATGCAAGTTTAATGACCAGATCATCAAACGCCCCAAAATCATCATCGTTTGATGAAATTTGGAACGTTTTTATTCTGGGGTCGTTTAATAGTCTTAGTACGACATTGGCGAGAACCACATCTTCATAATCCTTTCCTTTGTCACTCGTCCCTGGCCTTTTTTTAAAAATCTGGAAAGGAATAGACGAACAACCGCTTTGAAAAGGAATTATTCAGTAATTATTGTGTTTGTATGAGCAAAAAAATTATGGCCTGTAATACCATCTTTTTTTATTTTTATTTATACCTAACAAAATATGTGCTATCATTCCATTTACAATAATTGTTATTTTCTATAGAAGAATAGTTGTTTATTATACTCGGCGTTAAAGAGAATCTTTATCTACGACTTTTTGAAATTTTTTTGTTTTGATATTTATATCACTTTAAAAAATATGTTTATCATTTTATAAATATTTGAAAAATATGTTTAAATTAATTTAATCGTCAAACAAATAAATCAACCTAACCGCAGTAAATCCATGTCACGGGTAACAGATTGAGGACATTTTTTATTTTTTGTTGTAAATCAGAGATATTTTGAAACAAATACCATTTGTAGCATGTAGATTACAGTGTCAAGAATGATTTATAGAAATGTTGACAAGATACAATGTTGGGTAAGCGACTGAGAAAACAATATATGGCGTCACGGGTATGATTCTTAGAAAATTGAGTAAATAGTTTAAAGACAAATTTTACAATCTCAGCGAATTTCAAAACCATTTTTGTTCTTCCTCCAATACACAAACTAAGAAAGACTTGGTAAGAGTTTTTGGTCATAAATTACTTGCAATGCAATTTTACATTGCATCATTTTAAATAGTGTCACGGTTGTGACTTACATACTTTGAATGTTAAAAATTGTAGTCAAACTGGCATAACAAAAGAAAATGATATCACAAGAAGAACAATTTTATTAATGTTTTAATATTTTAACATTTTTGACCTGAGAACGAGTACCGTTTGGGTATTATTCACACAGATTTAAAAACAAACAGTTTGCCTTTTGTTTCTTGATCCATATTCAAATTTTGAGTACTATCAACTGGAACTAAGATGAACACAATTGAAGCACAAGAAGAGTGGAGAAGCGATATAGACATTATTCAGGTATTTTATTTACTTCTTTTTCAAATTTTGTAATAACTGCTAAAAATGGAAATAATGTATGTGTACAGATCCCTACATATACGGAATTGATTGCAAACAAATTACAGTGGTGTCGCGATAATTCGGATCAATTAAAACCGACCCGATCCGAATTATTAAATAATCCGAATTACCAAGTATAAAAAAACACGGTAATAATGTGAAAAAAAAAAGATTTATGGATTACAGTGTACGTAGTAAATTATTATGTAGCATTAGATTTAAAAAAAATTGTAATTTTTGTTTGGTGAACAGCATGTCGCTGGTTTATATAAGCTCCTTCTTTTAAATTTTGAAGAGTCATTTTATCTTCCAACGATACATTATTTTCTGCTGCCCATTGTTGGCCAGATTAAAAGCTTTAATGGCATCTTCGTTTTTAATTTTTACCGATTTTGTCGCCGTCGAGCCAGTCAAGAACTTCGCTGACATTTACTTCGAGATTTCCAATATTACTTACTTGTTAATTTTATCCTTATTTTTTTTAATGTCACTTATCGTGGAAGTTCCCTCACCATGCCAAGTCTTTCTTGTGGTTTCGTTTCCGAGGTGCCATTTCTAATGCTAAAAGACGGAATGACTGCACCTCGGACGTTATTAAATACGTTCACAGCAAAAAAATTGTTTTGTCTGGAGCCACTTATATGTAATTCTGTGAATTCGGATTACTAAATTCAAATAAATCCGAATTATAAAATACACTGTGAGAAAATAATTTGATCCGGATTATGGGAACATTCGGATTAACGTTGATTCGGATTATCGCGACACCACTGTACTAGATTTACATGGCCTACCTTTGTCTAAAAACACCCTGAACGGTTTATACTATTTATTTGCTAACAGTGTACAAGAGGCAAAGATAGATGTCAATTTTCCTTTGTATAATTTTGATTAGAAAACCAAGGTTTGTTTCAATCCTTAGAGTTCACAGAACACTAATAATTTTTTATACGTGCATTTCAGTAACATCCTGCATATATATATTTTTTAATTTCATCATATAAATTGCATTCACCATCAAGAGCAGTTTGGAATCAATGTTAATTTCATTTAATTTTAACTTTTGTACGTTCGGACTTGTCACACCCGTTACATTTTTTAGAGCTTCTGCTTTTTCGTTCGAGAAATTTGATGAACGCAATAGCTAGATAATCAGTTTTTTATTTTGTATATCAATTTTAACTTCCGGGTGAACTGGTTTAAACCATTCACGGGCTTAAAAATACTAATACTAAGTCGATTTTAGGTGTTTTATATATGGCATATTAAAATTCAACCTTGAATGTGTTTTTATAATTATTTAAGATTTTCGTGTGCTTTGTTCTAAAGAAAATACAATTGAATCAAACCAAGCGCAAAGACCTAATAAAAGTGTTAGCATGAGCATGGCTTAAAAATGATTAAATATTTTACATTAACAAGTTTTTTTTTTTTAGAAACAAATATTATCTCGGATGATTAAGACTTTAAACTTTTGATTTTCAACATTCTCATGTTTGTGCAACTTATTTCATTTTTATTCACTCAGGTTCATTTCGTGTGTAGTTACTAATATGTATAAATACTTATATAAAAATACTCACCTCAATTTTCTCCATTTTTCAAATTTAGGTCACTTATAACAGGAGCCAGATTTTAACTACAATACTGTTGAATTTACATGAGTAAGAGAAAAACATCCTTTTATATATAGGCGGTAATAAACCCGTTATTTGTTTTTGATAAGATAATAAACGAATTTTTAAAATACGGGTGCCATATTTTCAGTTACTTATCTCAAACTGAAGTACTAAATATATAATTATGATCATCACAAAACTGAAAATTGTGTTCTGAACGGTTCTGAACTTTTGTTCGGGTAGCTTCTTCAAGGACTCAATTTCTGTACGCCACCCTTTCATATAAAATTTTACAACTTTTAACTTTTTCAAAAAATTCTCAAAATCGTACTCGAGTTTAAAATATTAATAATACCAAGTAAATGGTAATAAAAAAAATTCTTACATTGTAGATTGGATAAAAGCATCGTAGTTGATTTTATCAGACATTCAGTGTTCACGTGGTGCAGCCTTGGAATAAATTTAGTATAATGTGAGAGACCACAGAAAAATAAACCCTCAAAAGACAGTACATATATACAAAAGAAGAAACACAAATGGCGGCGATGTACTAAATTTACACTTCAAATGGTCGTTAGTAAAAATATTGTTTATTGTATACAGAGCGTCTGAAAATTTTTTAAAGGATATTCAGAATTTTCCAGAATAACCGCGCTACAGGCAAAAATTTTTACAAAGAGAAAGAAAAACTTTTTGTAATCTGTACATACACAAAGAATTTTTCCAGTATCAGTTTATGTAGAAATTAATATTGAACTCAATTTCATGACGTTACCTCAAAACATTCCTTATTAAAATGATTTAAATGTTATACAGTAATATTCCAGGGGCAGCTCTGTCCTATGAGACAGGTGTGCTATTATACTACTACTTTTATTTTTTCTTTTTTTCAATATTTTAACAATAAATGTGAAAAATTATTGTTATTTTTATGTTGGTGGTCAGTTGTCTTGGAGGTTAATTAAAGATTAAAATTCTGTCATTGTGACATAAAATTTTCTATAGTTTTTAAATTGGTATCAAAATTGTTCTCGAAACTAAAATATGAAGACGAATTTCTGTTTATTTTATCATGCCATCCTGTTTAATTTCGTGCTGATTTCAAAATTCCTGTAGGTGTTCATATATTAGACAAAAGCAAAAAAACCGACTTTCGCAGAAATTCGATGATCACGCTTTAATCGCGAAACCTATACATAGTAGCAATCCTTTCTGAGAGACGAAAAGCCTCTGTTTCAGAAAATATTTAATTTAATTTAAATTTTTATTTGACCTGTGTATTTTATTTACAATTTTGTTTTTGTTACAATAATTAAATAACATTCCGGAACAATAAACTTGACATTAAATATAGACTCGTTACGTTCCAAAATCCAGGACCATATTAACATGATTCCAGTTACTAAAGCATAAAAAACAACAGCAAAAGTATGCCCAAAAACAATGCATAAAGTATTCGCTTTCTGCCAGTAACCAACAATAATACACTCATGTAAGTCATGTCGTATAACAACAAATTCGGAGTGACTGGAAGATATGAGAAAATGCAAAAAGATGATTACTGAATGTATTTGAAAGGAAATCAGAAAAATCTCTATTGGTTGTTTAAAATTACATTATCCACTTCTATGTACAAATATGGACAAGATTTCGTCTCGTTCTTCTCAAGATTTTCGAATGGATAGATTGGGGTTTTATAAAGGATATTGATAATGTGGAAGAAACATGTTCCAAATTTTATGACTTCGTCATTTGACTTCACCGTAATAACCCTCATTGGTTTACCAGTGACGTCATTAAATCTATTTGCTTAAAAAAATATGCTTTCAAAAAATATAAAAAGAGCAGTTCTTCACAAGCCTATGACTTATTTAAACTGTACTTATTAATACTATAAGGTTGTTTCCACAAAACTTCCCTTACCCCTAAAACTTATTGGATCCAAAGTGAAGTATTTCTGTACAAATAAAGTAATGATTTATTTGAAAATTTTCATAATTCTCATACGGAATCTTACTTGTCAAACAATTTCCTCAACGTAACAATATGAGGCGATAATTTCAAATTAATGTTACACTACAACAAAATAAATTTTTTTACATCATCATTTTTAAAAAGTTAAAAATTTAATACTTTTATCTTTTTGTTGCATTGGAACGTCGTTCCTCTCTTTATTACCTAATTCTATTGGAGTTTTAATTCCCTTCTTTTCGTATTATAGAACACGTATACGACGCGCCAGAATAGGGTGTCGGTCCTCGACACCGACACCGGTCTGAACTGAATCTGAACTATTTAATAAAATGTGTTCGTTTGACTGCCTCAACGACTAAATTAGGTACAAAAATTGATGCCGTTTTCACACGCTTTATTACTCATTTAAGAACTGATATGTATATTACTCATTTTAGTCACCATAGGCCACTAATAACTGTATTAAATCATAGGGATAAAGATACCGAAGGCGATAAGACTAGGATTGAACAGTAATTCGTATTTTAAATCGAATAAGTTATAAATACTGCTTTAGCATTTGTAGATATTTATTTGTTGATTTAGTTGGTAAATTATTACACATTGTATTTTAATTTTTTTAGACAATATTATTTTAATAATAATTAATTATGATATTTCTATAAAAAAATATATATTTTATATGCAATATTTACTTTAATTAACCCAATCATCATCACTAATCATCATTTTGTCAAAAAATACAAATGCAAAGTATACCTCTTTAATTCATATAAATTGACAATTCCCTGTTAAAACTCCATCCGTGCGTCCCTGGGTCGAGAATAATTGGTATTTGGGAGCACTATTCTGTAATTTATCAAAAGCGTTCGATTGCTTATTAATTGAACTTTTCAAAGAAACACTTAAAATTTATGGTGCCGCAGAAACTAATTTAGACCTTCTAATCTCAGTTCTCTCAAACATAACCCAAATCGTAACCTTGGAAAATCGGTTAATGTATATATCTTCAGACGTACTATGGTGCACCTTAAGGGCCAGTCTTCGGCTCAACGCTTTCCCTGGTTTATATTATTGATGTTTAAAACACCATTGTTGATGGTGTACTTATGTCAGAGATTATGTTAAATGCCGATGACGCTACTTACATCGAAACAGATAAGAATTTACCAACTTTGTAGAATGATTTGATATGTAAACACGATTCACTAATATCAACTTTAATTTAATTGCAACCTTGAGGTTGTATCTAAGAAAGAAGCACATTAAGGAGTGAGAACATACGATGAACACGTTGTTACTATTCCGGCCTCTGGCGTCTGTGATACAAGTTAATAAAACCATAACCAACTAAAAATTCTTTTATTTAAAGCTAAAACGATGTTAGTGAACAAGTCAACATTCCTCTGTCCCACTTGTGATCAGGTTATTTGTATTATGGGTTGCATAGAACCGTCAGTCATTCAAAATAATAAGAGTTATGCTCTTGTAATAATTGCAACAATTATTTTCAATAGAGAAAATACTAGGTCAAACATAAGAAATATTTCCACGTATTAATAAAAAAATATATTTGTAACAAAATAAAAATCTTTAATACAATATCGTTTCATAGTTAATAATCTTTTTGTATAGATTGCTAATTGCTAGACCGTTGAGTCTCGAGTAAAACTCTGAGCACGTTTTGATTTTAAACTTTTTTATAAAAAACTTCCTAAAAATATTTCGCGCTAGTTCTGTTAATCGGGGCATTTCTTGAAAATCCCGTTCTGGTAAATAACCACCTGTCTCATCGTGGTGACAACTCATTTCATTTAATTTAGGATGAAAGAAGTAACGTCGTAATTCATTAATACTATTCTTACAATAATTATAAGGCTTTTGGAAAAAACGATCTAAATTCATATTAATATCATACATAAAAACAGCTATCACATTTTTAATGTAAACTTTTGGAATGCCCATCTGTACGTCCATGTGTAAAAAGAATTTTGAACAATTCGCAACACCCAAACTTTTTATATATAATTTGCAAATCTAACTCTCCAATATTTAAACCATAACTTAATAAATAACAATAAAGTTGAGTTATGGCTGTTTCTTTATATCCAAGTTCGATCAAATCCTGAAATAACTCGCTTCTGTTCACATTATTAATAAAAGTAATCGCAGTCGGTTTTAATTCGCTTTGAAGCATCAGATTTAAATTTCTTAAATAAATAGGTTTGCCATCACCACCCGTGTAATCAGTATCTGAGAGTACGCTTCTTGAAAACAACTCATTTATAGAGTGACCAAATTTTTGAATGACGAGTCGCAAACAATCAATGTTCATGGAACACATTATGCGAAAGTAGAGAGACAAATATTCATAGTGAATTGTTATTTTAATAGGGCATTTAAGAATGTGGTAGAACAGGGGAGATTTAGCTTCAGCAAGTTTTAATAACACATCGAGGCGCAACTCCAGGTTTGAGTACTGATCAAAAATGTACAGACACAGAGTTTCTTGTTCTTCAAAAGAGCCATTGTAAAACACGGACCGTTCAAAGTGGTAGACCGTAGGTTGTGCTCCATATGCTAACAAAGTCATTACTAGTTCAATTTGATTTCTGTTCACGGTCATGTCAAGAGGGCTCTCATTCCTATTAGAATTAACACAATTAACGTCAGCCCCCCGTCGTATAAGAAGTCTGGCTGACTTATAGTAATGACGTTCTAAGGCACGGGCTAGTGGTGATTCTCCTTGAAAATAAACCTCATCAATGCAGGCACCTTTTTTTATCAATTCATATGTAAAGTATTCCTCCCTCCATATATCATTATACATGTAAGAATCAAGTGCAACTCCCAATGCTGTTGTGCCTTGTTTGGTCACAATATCAAAAGGAAAATCCGGTATGGATAACAAATATTTGAAGGATTTGTACCTACAAAACGTGCACTTAGGTATTTATAAATATTTTCAGGTGATATACCTCTCTTGGCGAGCTGCTATTTGCAGTAAACTGTAACCCCAAGAATCGTGGACGTTATACCATTTCGGGGAGTCGAGGAGGTCCCTGAGGATTTCCACTTGGTTGTGGAGGACGGCGGATATCAAACGCGATTTTTTTTTAATCTGAGAAAAATTGAGGTTATGTTGTGTCAGATTATGCGAATGTGGATAATTACCAGTGGAGGTCCGTTTCCTTCCTCGTAGTCTCTTAACCAATACTCATCGTGCGAGTAGGAGTCATCAGAGTCCGACGAAGACATATTCGAGTGAATTCCGCTGATTTTTGTCACAAAGTAACGTGTTTTATTATAAAAACTTTTTTATATTACTTAGGTTCTTATTTAAACCATTGTAGCTGGCCTACTAACTATCGTATTATGTGTAAATTTGGAATTAATTATATTCGTTCTTGGTCATCGTAAAAACCACAAATCAGTAGGTGAGTGGTCCGTGGTAATGGTAAGTGGTAAAACCCATGGTGGGATTCTACTTCCATGTAAGAACCCAAACATTCCACCATTTCCACTTAATTGTGACATGCGCACAAACACGTACAGAGATCATTCAGTTGACCCATTTTCATGGGTGGTCGTTTATCATGTGACCGTATGACGGCGCGCAACGCAAGATACTTCTTACGCAAGGTACTTCTCTTTCTTACACATTGAAACATTGAACTGCGGTACTTTGGTTATCTAGTGACTTTAATGTGAAATATTTGAAATTTGGCAGTTTAGTTGCATTGGTTTTGATGGTTTAAAGCTGATCTTCCGGTGTAATTATTGCAGTTAAGTGTAATTTTCACAGAAACATTCTAAAACGCATTGTTCATGTTTTGATCTGACCATTGTTTAGTGTTTGATTTTTTTGTAACAAAATAATTGTATATTAGCGTTTTCTAATCTAATAACGTTGAATTTTACAGCCATCAAGACATGGAAAAGAAATTAATGAAACGTAAAATCGTAATCAGAGAAACGGGGCCAAATATGAATTTCAACACGGCATCTCTTAATTCACTATTTATTGTAATAGACTGTGTGGTTTCTAAGATCAATTACTTTAGTTACACAATTTTTAATTCTTTTCCAAAAATTCATTTGCACAAAGTGTAGTAAATTGTGTACACGAATCAATTCTAAAATTTTCAAATGAAGCTTTTGTGATACTTTTTAAATTGTGTGGCGACATCTAGAAATAGTTTAGGCAACGACCACCGATGACACAAAATTTTATGCACATTATCAACTGGCGATTTTTGTCGACCCTTGCGTTATATGCCCGAATATTATTAATATAGGCGGTGTGTAGCTGTTTCCGAATGTCTATATTACCGAGAAGATTATCCAAGAATATTTATCCTACCTGTGTTACGTCTATCTCGCGCAGAATGAAAATTAAAACTCGCGATTGAGTTACTCCTGCTGAGCACTGTCGCAACGGAACCGCAGTCCAGCTGATTGAGGCGGCTAGGACGTGTGGTTTCCATGGCAACGGCGTAAACAAAACGTCTAAATCAGCCATGATTCGGTCTCTGTCTCCGGCTTTTACCAGCAATAACATATCAAATATATAAGACATACATCTTTAGATGTAAGTGGATGTAAGTTTTTTCTATTATAAAACTGAATATGATTTTCTATTCCCACATTCTTTATTACTTTTACAGTTGTTTCTTTTGGTAAAATCCAGATTACAACATGTTGGGATTGTTGGGTTTTATTTAGGTTCTCATTTAATGACTTATTGTTAAGATCGAAACCTGGTCCGTTTTGTAAATTATCTGCAATCATTCAATAAATCGACGAAAATAAAACAAGAGCGTAGTTAATTATAATAAATTTAATAAACATGCCAGTTTGGTTGTTACAAAAATTAGAAATTGGACAAATGTAACTACATATATTAAAAACAGATATGTTTTGAAGATGGTTTTTAAGATAAGTATACCACTAACTTAAGAGATATATTTTTTTTATATAAACGTGAGACACTTTTGTTTACAAATTTGATTTTCTTCTGGATTACACTGATGTGGCGTTTTGACTCTTGATTTTCCTTCGACTCCTGTAAAGATATACATACTTATTAATAGACCTAAGTTTTCACAAACTATTATTAGTACAAGTAACAATTAGGCAATAATGAGTAAAATAGTAATTTTTTACCACTATATATAGAGCTCTGATTTAATTTGAACATAAAAAATATACCTCTGCCAATTTATTTTTGGAAGACAATTATGTTGAGAAACCATTGTTAAGTTTCAGGAGAAAAATCATGTATTATCTTGGTGATCCTTTCCAACTTTTCATCAGAAAATTTGTCTAGACCAAGGCTCAAACTTTACGTTGTGCGCTTGTCACGGTCCAAAAATACATCAAAAACCATTTGTAGCTGTTGCTGAAATTTAATTTCTTTCTTAATAAATTGTTGAACTCCTCTTCTAAAATTTACCTTATAGAATTATTTCATTTTTTGGGACGAAGAAATAATCGTCCAAACTCTGTTGAGACCATGTTTCCTAAAACATTTCATCTGACTATTTCATTTGTTGACTTTAAGAATAAAATACCTTCACAAACCCGTGTCATAGATTTTGTAGAACACAAAGGAAGGCGTATTACATTTTTGCGAATAAAAACCTCGTAGGCCATAAGTTTTTATAGAATACAGGATGTTTATGAACTCCCTGAGAAATTTCGGTGATTGCTTAAAATTGGTATGCTAATTGCTAAAGCTACTAAGTACTTGGTCACTTTCCTGTAATTTGTCTGTCATTGAAAAAGTGTACATATAATGAAATAATACAACAAAATAATGGCAGATTTTACTCACACATAATAAAGAATCCTCGAAAATATTGTCCCATTTTGGAAATTTTACTCATGTATTCGAACGTTGCTCCATGGAATCATTTCAATTCTTACGTCAGTTTATCGAATCATTAGTTCTTGTCCTCTTGATATATTTGTAAGATGTTATCAACAATTCCGATTAAAACACCCAATTTTGTTAGAATGCTAAAACCAAAGTGTGAATAGTGGGAATTTTTGATTAATTTTGTTACCTTCGTTACTTCGCATCATTGTGTTGGATTTCGTAATGGAGCCTATATACCAACAAACGTAGACGATATAAATAAACTGAATTATTCCTTTGCAACCGTAATCTAAAGTGTCCTGGAAAATTAAATTTTAGTTTATTTTGTTTTCACAACAAATAACGTATTTACCTAAAAATATTTCCATTTCTTAGTTGTGGTATCCTTCTCTTCAAATTTCTTACAAATCGATTCAGCAAATTTGTAGATAATAGAAATACTAAACGGTACCATGCATCGCGTTCTTTTTATTCAATAATAGACAAAACACAATTGTTATGTATGTTTTTTACAAAAATTTTGTTTTATCGGCGGTTGTAAGTGACATTAATAACTGTTCCATGCTTTTTGTTTAAAATCAAAAATTAAAATTCATTTAAATTTAACATTTTTCGTAGGTATACAATTTTTATTGGAGTTACAAATAATGGAATATTTTGTAATCACTCGTGACCAGACGACTAAGCTGAGGGGATGAAGTGATGTAGAAGAGTTTTCAACAAGTGTAAGAAGAATATAACGTTTTATTTTACAGTTAACGCCGCAACTTATAATCAAGGATACTGGAATGGGTGAATACATTTGTCCGGGTAAAAGTTACGTTTGATATGGTGCAAATACTTATTTGTAATAGTGCTATGGCGAGCTATCTCAGACCATGTTCAAATTCAAACCAAATATGTTAAAATATTTTTCCACAAGAACTTAATATTACAGGTCATATGTGCATGGTATTCTGTTAATTAATTAATATTTTGTATGCACATCGACTCTGTCTACACTATTTTGACATTTCACAAATTTAGCTTTTCTGCGTGTTATACCTACATAATGTTAGTAAATAAAATTTTCACAACATTAATATCTGCTTTCAAAATAAAACATACACAAATTATTATATAGGTACGATAACAATTTACAAACTTTAAATTATTATTTAAATTAATTAAAATCCTCGGAATAAACTGCAATTTTTCTTCGGATTCCTTGGAATATAACTAGGTTAGTTTTTTGAACATTGTTCTTCATGCCTCGTTCGTTATAATCAGACACGATTCTCAAACAAGCACATTCTGCTTACTACAATTACGCTGCATTTGGATGGTTTGGGAAAGTTTTTGTTATTACGTTTCCTTGTAACTTGTAAAGGAATGGTGCCCGGTTTGAGCGCCGGCTCTTGTTAAACATTCTACAATATTTTTGTAAGATTTTACGGAAGCCACGTCAAGTGGTGTCCAACCGTAATTATCAGCGCGATTGATTTCGGCACCGACTGTCGCCAAGTACTCGACAATTTTTTCGTGACCGTTTTGTGAAGCTATGTGAAGTGGTGTGCAACCGTCATTCTGAGCGCGATTGATTTCGGCGCCGACTGTCACCAAGTATTCGACAACTTTTTCGTGACCGTTTTGTGAAGCAATGTGAAGTGGTGTCCAACCGTCATTCTCACCGCGATTGATTTCGGCGCCGACTGTTACCAAGCATTCGACAACTTTTTCGTGGCCATTATGTGAAGCTAAGTGAAGTGGTGTCCAGCCGTCATTTGCAACACAATTGATTTCGGCGCCGACTGTCGCCAAGTATTCGACAACTTTTTCGTGACTGTTTTTTGAAGCAACGTGAAGTGGAGTCCAACCGTCATTCTCAGCGCGATTGATTTCGGCGCCGACTGTCGCCAAGTACTCGACAACTTTTTCGTGACCTTTTTGTGAAGCAATGTGAAGTGGTGTGCAACCGTCATTCTCAGCGCGATTGATTTCGGCGCCGACTGTCGCCAAGTATTCGACAACTTTTTCGTGACCGTTTTGTGACGCTATGTAAAGTGGTGTCCCACCGGTTTTTTCAGCGCGATTGATTTCGGCACCGACTGTCGCCAAGTACTCGACAATTTTTTCGTGACCGTTTTGTGAAGCACTGTGAAGTGGAGTCCAACCGTCATTAATAGCGCGATTGATTTCGGCGCCGACTGTCACCAAGTATTCGACAACTTTTTCGTGACCGTTTTGTGAAGCAATGTGAAGTGGAGTCCAAACGTTATTAACAGCGCGATTGATTTCGGCGCCGACTGTCACCAAGCATTCGACAACTTTTTCGTGACCGTTTTGTGAAGCAATGTGAAGTGGTGTCCAACCGTCATTCTCAGCGCGATTGATTTCGGCGCCGACTGTCGCCAAGTATTCGACAACTTTTTCGTGACCGTTTTGTGAAGCAATGTGAAGTGGTGTCGCACCGTTATTAATAGCGCGATTGATTTCGGCGCCGACTGTCACCAAGTATTCGACAACTTTTTCGTGACCGTTTTGTGAAGCAATGTGAAGTGGTGTCCAACCGTCATTCTCAGCGCGATTGATTTCGGCGCCGACTGTCGCCAAGTACTCGACAACTTTTTTGTGACCCTTTTGTGAAGCTACGAAAAGTGGTGTCTCACCGTCATTCTGAGCGCGATTGATTTCGGCGCCGACTGTCACCAAGTATTCCACTACTTTTTCGTGACCTTGGTGTGAAGCTACGAGAAGTGGTGTCGCACCGTTTTCTTCAACGCAATTGATTTCGGCACCGACTGTCACCAAGTATTCCACTACTTTTTCGTGACCGTTGAAGGAAGCTATGTGAAGTGGTGTTCGACCGTTATTCTGAGCGCCATTGATTTCGGCGCCGACTGTCACCAAGTATTCGACAACTTTTTGGTGACCTTTTTGTGAAGAAATGTGAAGTGGAGTCCAACCGTCATTAATAGCGCGATTGATTTCGGCGCCGACTGTCACCAAGTATTCGACAACTTTTTGGTGACCGTTTTGTGAAGCTACGTAAAGTGGTGTTCGACCGTCATTCTGAGCGCGATTGATTTCGGCGCCGACTGTCACCAAGTATTCGACAACTTTTTCGTGACCTTGGTGTGAAGCTACGAGAAGTGGTGTCGTACCGCTTTCTTCAACGAAATTGATTTCGGCACCGACTGTCACCAAGTATTCCACTACTTTTTCGTGGCCGTTTCTTGAAGCTATGTAAAGTGGTGTCGCACCGTTATTATCAGCGCGATTGATTTCGGCGCCGACTGTCACCAAGTATTCGACAACTTTTTGGTGACCGTTTAGTGAAGCTACGTAAAGTGGTGTCGCACCGTCATTCTGAGCGCGATTGATTTCGGCGCCGACTGTCACCAAGTATTCGACAACTTTTTCGTGACCTTGGTGTGAAGCTACGAGAAGTGGTGTCGCACCGCTTTCTTGAACGCAATTGATTTCGGCACCGACTGTCACCAAGTATTCCACTACTTTTTCGTGACCTTTGAAGGAAGCTATGTGAAGTGGTGTTGGACCGTTATTCTGAGCGCCATTGATTTCGGCGCCGACTGTCACCAAGTATTCGACAACTTTTTCGTGACCTTGGTGTGAAGCTACGTAAAGTGGTGTCGCACCGTCTTTCTGAGCGCGATTGATTTCGGCGCCGACTGTCGCCAAGTATTCGACAACTTTTTCGTGACCATTTTGTGAAGCCATGAAAAGTGGTGTCTCTCCGAATGTACTAACACAATTAATGTCAACACCAGATCTGACGAAATAGTCAATGATTTTTAAATTACCGTTTTGACAGGCCAGCCACAGTGGTGTTGCACCATATTCTGTGGTAACAATTTTCACTTCGCACCAAAAATATTTCAACTCTTCCACTGTGAGGTATTTACACATGTCATCGTAACCCAGTAAAGCTGAATAATATATAACATTAATTATATCATCAGGAGATTGTCTCAATTCATGTTTTTTTGTTTGAAGTAATTGTATTTGTGCCCCTAGGCTCTCACTTTTGCGGGCATAAGTCAAAGGAGTCGCATCTAACAACATATCGCGTTCGCCAGCATCGATCTTTCGTTGCAAATACGCCATCGTTTCAAAGTATATTTTCGTTTCCGCTTTTTTATCGAAATTGAGATTTTCGTGCACAATACAGTTGTCTTTTACAAGCGTTACTTTTACACGCGGATGTCTTTGCCCCCATGACGAAATCAAATGTAAAGCGCTTCTGCCACATATATCTTTGCGTTTTAAAATTTCGTCGTCGTACGATTTAAGTAACTCGTAACGTTTATACAATACGGCAATGTGACCTTTTGAGTTTTTGGCTAACAACATGTCAAAAAAAAAGCGAACGTTGTTATACCTCGCGTCGAATAATATGTCCGAAATGAAACCTTTAGAGTTATTAATATTGTTTGAAAAGTATCTAGCAACTAGATACTCTGCGAACGAACTGTGCACAAAACGTGGAATATCATTTTGAAAGTCATTTACAAGACCCAGAGAGGCATAATTTCGGAAAAGTTTTTGTACACATTTTTCGTAATCAATATTCAGTCGCTGCATAATTTCTTCGTTAAATATTACTCTAAAGGACACACGTTCGTAATATTCTGCAGCCTTTCGTTTTTTTTCACAGACTATAACTTCCATTTGGGGATTTCTTAAATCGTATCCAATTTTGTCTTTGTAAAATTTATTAAATTTTTCGTGAATAAAATATTCGTAAAGGTCAGTCAAGACGAATGTGTTGTCCATAAGTTTTAAATATTTTTCGCTATTTTCACGGAACAGTTCGGTAAGCATGAATATTTGCAGAGGGATACCTAGTATATCTATGTGTTCTATAATGGCAAAAGACGATTTGATTTTTTCGAGCGTTACGTCAATGCAGGTTTCTGAATTAAAAAATTTTAGACGTTTTCTGATATATTTTTCTTGTTCTCGTTCGTTAAATTGATTTATACCAAGTGAGAACAAATTGAATTTTTTTTCTAGAGTGGTTTTCAAATGCCGTCTGCTAGTAACCCACTGAGGGAACCCTTTTATTGAAAGATCGAGAATTATATTTAAAGCGCCATCTAAATTGTCATTTAGAATTTCATCGAGTGCGTCCCACACGTAAATTACGTTGTTTTTCTTTATGCACATTTCGAAAAACATTCGATCTAGTTTTTCGAGCGACACGTATTTTTTATTTGTGATAAATTCTGTAAATAAATCTGAACAATTTTTCGTTTTACATAAATCGGAATTGCGAAAAAATAAATTAACATCCTTGGGACTAATTAACACTGTCCAATATTCGCGCGAACATTTATTTTTTAAGCTCTTCACTAGCTTGGTTTTACCCATTCCCGGATCTCCAATTATAAGATTGATGTTATAGTCTAACCGAGAAGACCACAAGGCATTTTCTTCGGTAGGATGTTCGTCGGGCAATTTGTAAGCCTCTACATCACTAACATCACCTTTGCTAGATAACCATTCTAACTTTCCATCATTCAAAATTTTAAAATAGTGAAATTGTTTTGTTTGTTTGTGCTCGTTATAAATTTGTTGAAGTTCAGAATCATTATAGTGTCTGGTACCAACGTAAACTATGTTGGCAAAACTGGATATATCAGAGCTAAAATTATATTTGTTGTTGTTTAAATTAGAATGTAACCCAATTTTTTTCCCCTTATCTAAGTAATTTCTGTTATTAAAGTTCAGTTCATTAACGTTAAAGTCATTATTTGTTACATTTTCGCCACTCTGATTGTGTTTCAGTAAGAAGTTATTAATGTCAATTAATTCACATTTCTCGAGTTTGCTTTTAACCTTGTCTAAATTATTGGCGCAATTTAAAATAATAATTGTGTTTTGGTGAGTTTTTTCTAAATATGTATTATCGACGACATTTCGCGAAATATACCGTTCAATGTACGGTTCAGGTAGTGTTTCCTTTACTCCTCCTACACGGCATGGACCGTTCAGCATTTCAGATAGATTATCAGTTGTAATATTTTGGAAAAAATCTTCGCTATTGCCAAACGATGTTACAAGATCGAGTTCGCCCTTTCCCTGAATCGAAATGGAAAAATTTTGCATTACATTTTTACGAATTTCGGGTTTCGGATTCAAGTCTGACAGATTTTGGAAGACGGAATACTTTTGCACCCATTCTGCATCTTTAGTTCCGCCAACCAAAACGAATTTTTTGTCGGGACACAGCTGTATTATATTTTTCATATTTTCCCATGCACGTAAAATTAATGGACATTCGTCCATTACCCACAAAAGTTGAGTGAACGCCTTGGGATCTATGGCGCCGATGTCGGTGTCATTAATATATCCGAGAGTAGGTAGATATCTCCTTCTAACTTTATTTAATTTCTTAAAGTCAATAGTTTTTTCCTTTCCAACATCACCCCACAGTTGCTTAACTGTTTCGACTGATTTGTCTTCAATCAGTGTGACATCAAAGACGGAAATCGCTTCCCTGAAAATTTTCATTTTGTCATTAACTGGACCGAAAGATAGAGACTCAGTATGAGAGGACAGAAGGTGCAGCGCAAGTACCAGCTGCGTCCACTTTTTATCTATCTTTTCTTTATTCCCATCTTGGGCGTTCCATTTAGAAACTGTTTTCAGGAATTTACCGAATGTTTCGTCATCTGAACAATACGTTGTCTTGAATTTGTTAGCGGTTATTTTTTCCAGAGTATCACAATTTTCTTGGTCGGTATAGAGAAAAAACTTGCGAAAAAATTCCTGATATTCTTGAATTCTAGGATTCTTTTCCACTGTCGATTGATCATGTACTATTTCAAACTGATAAACGTGACTAACATTTTCTGAAATGTCTGAGCTAACTTCTCTTTTAATAAGCTTGACGTAAAATTCTTCGCCGTCAAGTTGGAATGTTGCGTTGTCGGGAGGGTTAAACGGGCGGTTTGTGAACAAAATTAATTCATCTACTTTTTGCTCAATTTTTGTGTAACTTTCATGGTATTTTCTAATACTGAAGTCTCCTTTTACGGCTCGCAGATTTTCTAGAGAGAGTCCTTTCCTTTCGGTGTGTTTTAGCTGTACGGCTTTAACCTGAATGTCGTTCCCCTTATCCAATGCAAGTTTAATAACCAGATCATCAAACGCCCCAAAATCATTCTCGTTTGATGAAATTTGGAACGTTTTTACTCTGGGGTCGTTTAACAGTCTAAGTACGACATTGGCGAGAACCACATCTTCATAATCCCTCCCTTTGTCGCTCGTTCCGGGCCTTTTTTTAAAAGTCTAGAAAGGAATAGACGAACCACCGCTTTGAAAAGGAATTATTCAGTAATTATTGTGTTTGTATGAGCAAAAAAATTATGAACTGTAATACCATATTTTTATTTTTATTTATACCTAACAAAATATATACTATCATTCCATTTACAATAATTGTTATTTTCTGTAGAAGAATAGTTGTTTATTACACAAGCCGTTAAAGAGAATCTTTATTTACGACTTTTTGAAATTTTTTTGTTTTGAAATGTTGAATTTAACATATTTTGATATTTATATCACTTTAAAAAATATGTTTATCATTTTATAAATATTTGAAAAATATGTTTAAATTAATTTAATCGTCAAACAAATAAACCAACCCAACCATGCTGATGTAATCTTAGGCGCCGAGTACAATTTCTCATTGATCCGCTATTTTAAAAATATATGAGCCAATTAATTAATAGACCAGTTTTTCAAAAAAATTTGCTGGTGTGGTACACGGAACTGATAGAGAGCAAGCGGCAATTATTGTTTTTGTTAAAAACAGACATCAAGTTTTAGAAAAATATAAATTTGTGAATATTAATTTAGCGAATAAAGTTTATAAAACTGGATTGTTCTCTTCACAATGTGCAACAGACCGAGGACAACTATGAATATCATGGCTTAAAATAAGTAAAGTAAAAGCAAAAAAACATTTCACAAATCTGTATACTCAAAAAAAATTCTTGAGTTTCTGTATACCCATGTATTATAACCACTATGTATAAATAAATAAAAACACTCACCTCAATTTTCTCCATTTTTCAAATTTAAGTCACTAACAGGAGCCAGATTTTTAACTACAAAACTATTGAATCTACACGAGTAAGAGAAAAAAATCCTGTTATATATAGGCGGTAATAAATTCGTTATTTGTTTTTGATAAGATAATAAACGAATTTTTCAAATCAGGTGACATATTTTCAAGTACTTATCTCAAATTGAGGTATTAAATAAATATGATCATTACAAAATTGAAAATTTCGTGCCACCCTTTAATATAAAACTTTAGAACTTTTAAGTTTTTCAAAAAAATGTTAAAATCGTACTCGAGTTTGAAATATTAATAATACTTACTATGTAAATGGTAATTAAAAAAATTCTTAAATTGTAGATTACATAAAAGTATCGCAACTGATTTTATCAGACATTCAATGTTCACGTGTTGCAGCCTTCGAATAAATTTAAGATAATGTGAAGAGGTTTGTTTTCGATCAGAAAAAAATAATCCCTCACAAGTACATATAAAAGAAGAAACACAAATGGCTTCGGATATTCAGAATTTTCTTTAAGTACCGCTCCAGAATAACCGTGCTACAGGCAAAAATTTTCACAAAGAGAAAGAAGAACTTTTTATAATCTGTACATACAGAAAGAGTTGCAGTAGAATTCAATATCGAACTCAATTTCATGACGTTATCTCAAAACATTCTTTATTAAAATGATTTAAATGTTATACAGTAATATTCCAGGGTTAGCTTTGGCCTGTGAAACAGGACTATACTATTACTTTTTTTATTTCCATGTTTTTCATTATGTTAAAAATAAATGTGAAATATTATTGTTATTTTTTGTTAGGTGTTCACTGTTTCCATAATTAAACAGTGCATGTGTAGATAATGCGTTCGAATCATAGGCAGAGGCGGAGTATAAGTGATTAAATTATGATATGCTAACGAATGCAGAAAAACATGCTATACAAAAATTCTCAAAAATATATATGTAGTTTCTTCAGTATTGTGGATAACATCTAAATTTAATAATTAACCGTATTTTAGCGGTCCAAATTTTGGGTTTATATGTAGGTATATGTATAGATAGATTATATGTGGATTTTCCCGATTTTCCCCATTTACAAATTAGCGTCATCGGTACAAAAATTTTGCAATAAAATTGTAAAAGGAGAACTATTTATATGTTGGTGGGATTAAATCGAGTATTTGCTTTCGATAAGATAGGATGATAAATACACACTTTTTAAAAATATTCGACATATTAACTAAATATTTATACGAAATCGTTAAACTGAGGTAGACTTTAAATAAAGATAAGTAATCCAATTAAAAAAGTCATAAATACTGCTCTAGCATTTGTAAATAGTTACTTAACCTTGGAAAGCGATCAGTTCACATATCTTCAGATGTACTATGGTGCACCTTAAGGGCGTGTCTTCGGCTGAACGATTTTCCTTGTTTAATTAATGATGTTTAAAACACCATTGTTGATGGTGAACTTATGTTAAATGCTGATGACACTACTTACATAAAAACAGATAAGAATTTACCAAATTTGCAGAATGATTTGCTATGGAAATACGATTCACTAAGATCAACTTTAATTTAATTGCAACTTTGAGGTTGTATCCAAGAAAGAAGACTCCCTGTATAGCAGTGGCGGCTCCTCGGGGTGGGCAGGGTGGGCAATGCCCACCCTATTTGATTGTTTACGATACGAAGTAAAATATTGATTTTTTTTTTTTTAAATTATTTTACACAACTAATTATCGCCATAAACATCATTTAAGCCAACGGATTTTCTTCATTACATCCCGCAGTTTCCGCAACTGAGAAATTGCAGTTGTAAAAAAGTGCGTCAGATCTCGGCGTTATACGGTTCATGTGAGGATGGGCTAGTCCACCCTGGTCCACCCTCTTGATTGTAAGCAACGACATACGTTCGGTTTTCTATGTACGTAATTGAGAGTAAAGAATTCGAAACGCGCGTCTTTGCATCCGTGTTTTCTTGCTTCAAGCGGGGCAGGACGCCCTGGTCTCAACGTATATCTCAAACGCTGCAGAGTCGGATCTCATGATATTCGATTCAAGGATTCAATAAATTAATTTCGATTTTTTTAATTCTTCTGTGTTGTAAAAGTATAGAGGTATTATTTTTATTACTCTATTGAAATATGGGTAAGGTATAAGGAATTCACGTTCGGTAGATGTAACTAGATTTGGTAACTTTTTTTTTTAAGCTGTGTAACTGCGGACATAATTGTTCTAGTGTATAATGTATTACTGGAATGTCAGAAAGTAGGTATCAAAAATGTGACATGTAAGTAAGTAAAGGTCAAATATCGAAAATGTGATGGTTTTGTGGTAATCTGGTGAATCTATTTTTGAACCAAGGAGAAAATCGCATCCCTCTAAAAGCCCAAAGAGCAACCCGCATGTAAAATTTTGAATCTTTTCCCTTCACTAGTTTTTTTAGGAGGACAAGCTTTGATGTTATCATCATGGATCCACAATTTCACCATGGATCCGTTCTTGTATATCCATGTCTCATCCAAGAAAATGAAAAGTAAATCTTCACCACAATCGCGCAATTGGAGATAGGTACCGCCTTAGAAATTTGATTCTGGCAGCTATAACGTGTTTAAAATGTGAAAAACTTCGCCTTCGGAAACCTAAATTTATACGTGTATTACGTACAATTACTTTCAAAGCCGAGTGTTTTACCTCTTACAAAACAATAACGATTATATAAAACTTAAAAACCAATTGTAGAACGGAACCAACAAAGCATGTAGGTATATAAATCTGCGCAGTCGTCTTTCTGATTCTGATTATAATATTAACGGCACAAGCGCCGCTGTATCTGTATTATTTTAAAATTCGAAAAACACTCGACAACACTAGCGAACTTTACGGAGAATATTTCTGCCACCAGTTTAACTGTTTCCGTTTTACCCAATTTTTTGAAAACCACGAAATATTTCTTGTTTCTTTTCCTTTAAAATGAGCTTTCTCGTGATTACTTTCATGGAAATTGTTTCCATGCTGTATTTAAGGATTTTCTTGAAACGAAGCGTGTTGAAATTAGAAAAACTTCGTTTTTTTTCCACACAATTCAGATTTGACATTTGAATTAGAAAATTAGACAGTTGATGCCAATCTTAAATTTCTAGTGATCTTAAGATTGCAACTTAACCACAGAAAAGTTTCTGTTAGTTACTTCTACCGAACGTGAATGCTTATTAGTAAGGAAAATAATGTTATGCGAAAATTCTTGAATACTATTGTTATAGAAAAGAGCAACACCATAATAATTAATAAATACTTTTTCATATCAAATGAAAATTTGTAATAACCATATTCTTGTATTATGACACCGTGTGAACTTTATAATGAATTATAAATTTAAAAATCCGAATAACCAATGATGAAAATAAGTAATACATTTATTATTGCAGTACGTATCTGACATGTGTATTTTTTTATTATTACATATGCATTTTTGTTTCATAAATACAACTGTAGCAGAGTCAACAAAAGTTAAATATACGCTTAATTTATTATTTAATTCATACTGTCCGCACAGGTTTGTTACGCGTTCGCTCTAGCATGGGTGGGCAAATCCACCCTGAAAATCGGAAGCACTCGGCATGGTTCGTCCTCGTCGGAGACACGACTCAATTGAATTCAGTCAGATCAGAAACTGCATTGTGGATAGTGCATTTAATTATAAAATGTAGCTTATTCAAATTACCAAATAGTTAGGCGGGTACCAAAGTAGATACTTTCTAGCAATTTTTTTAATGGCAAATTCTACTGTAAGCTGTGCAAATAATATTAGAGAGGTGGTAAAGAACGCATTAAAGACATTGAGTTTTTGTTTTTAATAAATAAATTCAGTAGTATGGAACTTGATATTTATGAATTATTTGTTTATAAGTTAAGATCATGTCCCGAAATGAAACAATTGGTCATCACAAACTCTCGTGTCAGTAATAAAGGCTTTAATCAAAGTTCGGACAATAAATATTACCTATTGGTTGATCGGTAGTGAAACAACAAACAAAACTGTTGGAATTATCTGCTATTTAACATAAAATTAAATTACGAACACTTTAGAATTCCACAAGAAGAGCGATATAAAATATATCGCTACTGCTTTACAAAAACATGACCAATCTGAATAAACGAAAATTACTTGGAAAACGAAGTGAAACTATAGAAAATTCTCTTAAATTCGGCGTTTATTCGATATGATAATTTTCTTGGCTACACAAAAACATGCATTTCGGGGACAAGATGAATCGCAAATTTCTCTTAAAGTAAATTCGATGATAAATTTAAAGTTTTTTGGAGGAGTCTTTGGTAATTAGTGGTCTTCAGAACGATTATTTTGGAATTATTTTTATTTTATTTGTTATTGTTAACTTTGTTAGTATTTTGAGAATTTATTTTTTGTTTCATTTGGCATTTTTAATTTTGCTTTTACAATAATTTTCCAAATTGCTGCTTTTTCTAATTGTGCGCTTATCTCAAAGGTTCAAAATTTAATGTTTTCTCGTCATGTTATTTCAAAATCTTTACATGTTGGGATCATTATTTGAGTTTAGAGTTCTATAAACTCCTAACAAATCTATTTATGTGCTGAACCTTTTTTTTGCTCCTCTTTCCTTTTCTAGCAAGAGTCTTCGACGTTCTCGTTGGTTCTTGCTGACGGACATTGTAAGTAACATTTATAAAATAATATATATGTAATATACATAAAATATTTGTTATATTATATTGATTGACATGCAGCACCAAAACAAAAACACGTTCTCACAAAAATGATTAATTATATATATGTATATATATTTTTTCATACATGTTATAACCTACCTATAATGCTTTGCCCAACCATCAAAAATCACCACGAGCCACCACTGCTGTATAGGCAACCGAAAATATGAAGGAGTGAGAACATACGATGAACACGTTGTTACTATTCAGGCCTCTGGCGTGTTATCAGTCGTTCAAAATAAGAATAATGTAATAAGTTATCCGCTTGAGCTTGTAATAATTGCAACATTTTTTTTTAATAAAGAAAATACTAGGTCAAACATAATAAATATTTCCATGTATTAATAAAAAAATATATTTATAACAAAGTAAAATATCTTTAATACAATATCGTTTCATAGTTAATAATCTTTTTGTATAGATTGCTAATTGCTAGACCATTGAGTCTCGAGTAAAACTCTGAGCACGGTTTAATTTTAAACTTTTTTATAAAAGACTTCCTAAAAATATATCGCGCTAGTTCTGTTAATCGGGGCATTTCTTGAAAGTCCCGTTCTCTTGAATAACCACATGTCTCATCGTTGTGACAACTCATTTCATTTAATTTAGGACGGAAGAAGTAACGTCGTAATTCATTAATACTATTCTTACAATAATTATAAGGCTTTTGGAAAAAACGATCTAAATTCATACTAATATCATACATAAAAACAGGTATCACACTTTTAATGTAAACTTTTGGAATGCCCATCTGTACGTCAATGTGTAAAAGAATTTTGAACAATTCGCAACACCCAAACTTTTCATATATAATTTGCAAATCTAAATCTCCAATATTTAAACCGTAACTTAATAAACAACAATAAAGTTGAGTTATGGCTGTTTCTTTATATCCAAGTTCCATCAAATCCTGAAATAACTCGCTTCTGTTCACATTATTAATAAAAGTAATCGCAGTCGGTTTTAATTCGCTTTGAAGCATCAGATTTAAATTTCTTAAATAAATAGGTTTGCCATCACCACCCGTGTAATCAGTATCTGAGAGTACGCTTCTTGAAAACAACTCATTTATAGAGTGACCAAATTTTTGAATGACGAGTCGCAAACAATCAATGTTCATGGAACACATTATGCGAAAGTAGAGAGATACAGACTCATAGTGAATTGTTATTTTAATAGGGCATTTAATAATGTGGTAGAACAGAAGAGATTTAGCTTCAGCAAGTTTTAATAACACATCGAGGCGCAACTCCAGGTTTGAGTACTGATCAAAAATGTACAGACACAGAGTTTCTTGTTTTTCAAAAGAGCCATTGTAAAACACGGACCGTTCAAAGTGGTAGACTGCAGGTTGTGCTCCGTATGCTAACAAAGTCATTACCTACTAGTTCAATTTGATTTCTGTTCACGGTCATGTCAAGAGGTCTCTCATTATTAGAATTAACAGCATTAACATTAGCCCCACGTCGTATGAGAAGTCTGGCTGACTTATAGTAATGACGTTCTAAGGCACGGGGTAGTGGTGATTCTCCTTGAAAATAAACCTCATCAATGCAGGCACCTTTTTTTATCAATTCATATGTAAAGTATTCCTCCCTCCATATATCATTATCCATATAAGAATCAAGTGCAACCCCCAATGCTGTTGTGCCCCGTTTGGTCACAATATCAAAAGGAAAATCCGGTATGGGTAACAAATATTTGAAGGATTTGTACCTATAAAACATACACTTAGGTATTTATAAATATTTTCAGGTGATATACCTCTCTTGGAGAGCTGCTATTTGCAGTAAACTGTAACCCCAAGATTCGTGGACGTTATACCATTTCGGGGAGTCGAGGATTTCCGCTTGGTTGTGGAGGACGGCGCATATCAAACGCGATTTTTTTTTAATCTGAGAAAAATTGAGGTTATGTTGTGTCAGATTATCCGGATGTGGACAATTACCAGTGGAGGTCGAGTGAATTCCGTTGAATTTTGTCACAAAGTAACGTGTTTTATTATAAAAACTTTTACTTTTACTTAGGTTTTTATTTAAACCATTATAGCTGGTCAACTAACTATCATTTTATGTGTAAATTTGGATGTAATTATATTCGTTCTTGGTCAGCGTAAAAACAACAAATCTGTAGGTGAGTGGTCCATGGTAGTGATAAGTGGTAAAACCCATGGTGGGATTCTACTTCCATGTAAGAACCCAAACATTGCACCATTTCCACTTAATTGTGACATGCGCACAAACACAGTACAGAGATCATTCAGTTGACCCATTTTCATGGGTGGTCGTTTAGTTTGTGACCGAATGAGGGCGCGCAACGCAAGATACTTCTCACGCAAAGTACTTCTCTTTCTTACACATTGGAAGATTGAACTGCGGTACTTCGATTATAAGTGACTTTAATATGAAATATTTGAAATTTGGCAGAATAGTTGCATTGGTTTTGATGGTTTAAGGCTGATCTTCCGGTGTAATTATTGCAGTTAAGTGTAATTTTCACAGAGACATTTTAAAAAGCATGGTTCATGTTTTGATGGGACCATTGTTTAGTGTTTAATTTTTTTTGTAAAAAAATAAAATGTATATTAGCGTTTTCTAATAACGTTGAATTTTGAAAGCGTTTGAGAGGATCTGATAGATTCCGAAAGAATCTGGAAGAATCTGAGAATATCTCAAAGAATCTAGAACAATTTGGAAGAATCGGGAAGAATTTGATGATGAAAGATCTGAACAGAAGTGAAAAATTTTAAAGCATTTTGAGGATTTCGATTCAAAAGGCAAAGTCGTAAAGTAAATGAATGAATTTGAAAGAATGTGAGAAAATCGAGAGAATCTGAGAGAAATTGGAAGATTCGAACAAAATCTAAAGGAATCTGAAAAAATCTGAGGGAACTTATGGGAATCTGAGCGAATTTTGAGGAATTTCGAAGAATTTAGAAAAATCTAAGACAATCTAAAAAAAATTGGTCGAAAGCTATTTCGACAGAACTTCCCTCGCACCTAAAGTGCAGTGAAATATATCCAGCATTTTTGAGTTGAGCTTTTACTTTACAGAATTTTGTGATGACGTCATCAACACTTTTGCCAGGACACATATATCAGCTTGGATTGGTGCAGTGTAATACTAAGAAAAGAGAGGGTGGGTGGGCGGGGCTAGTAGTTTCTAATATAAGATTGATTTTGTCTAATGAGATACCTTCTAAGAAAAAAAATGGTGGGTGGAGACAGTCGCATCTGAGATAAAACCGATATTGGCAAACGACATACCCACTAAGAAAAGAGAGAGTGGGTGGGCGGGGCTAGCACTTGCTCAGATAAGACTGGTTTTGGCAAACGCCCTACCTTCTGTAAAAATAAAGTGCCGGTGGGCGGGGCTAGTACTTGCTAATATAAGACTGATTTTGCCCCTATTAAACTTGTAAAAACTTGTTAAATTTAAAAGGTGTTGAATTGCATATTTCCATAGTAACGAGTTAAATTCGTAAATTTGATTGGATATTTATTTTTTAAACACTCAGTCATTAATTTTTCTGAGACACCCTGTATAAGTAAATTTAAAAAACTACATGTGTAGGACTATGTTATTTTATACAATTTAAAACTCACTTACTATGTACAATTTTGAAGTGACGTCATCACGTTATTGGAGTTATTGGTGAGGATGATTGGACAAATTTTGGTTAGCGTTTTACCATCTATCTGTACATGATATTCCTAATATATAAAAAAAGAAATGACAAAAATCGGCCCAGTACTTTCGGAGATTATCTGTCTAACAAAAATCCGGGACAGGTAGACAGACAGACAGACGGAAACGGGAGACCTATTTCTTCCTACTGTAGGGGCCATGAAAGGTCGAGAAAACGTAAAAATAGAGAGTCGGTCGATGGACTCGATTAAAATGTGAAGGAATCCAAGAGAATCTGAACGGATCTATAAGCATCTAAAACGATCTGAATAGAAGTAAAAAATTTGGAAGAATCTTGACGACTCCTGACGGTGTTTTTGAAAGAATTTGAAAAATTTCGGAAGAATTTGAAACAATCCGGAAGCATCGAAAGTTCCAGAATAATCCGAAAGAATAAAAAAAAAACGAAAGAATTTGAAAGATAGAATCAGAAAGAAAATGAAAGGATCTGAAAACATTTGGAGAAACTTGAGGCAATTTAATGTTTCGGTGGGAATATTAAACAGAAGATTCATTGGCTCGTTTTTTTTACGGAAATTTAACAGCGCGATATTTAGATGATCTTAGAACTGCAGTTCTTGCGGATCAAATTGCTACGTTTCCTGATCCAGATAATCCTCATCATGGTGTAAATGTAACGGTTTTTTGGACAATCAATTTTTTGGAAGGTGGATTGGAAGGCGTGAATCAATAGAATGGCCACCTTGGTCTCTGATTCTGACACCCCTTGATTTTTTTATCTACCATCGTCTCGTCTGAGTTTGTGTTAGATAGTGAAGGGATCCGTCTGTCGAGGGCGTTTTGATGAATTTTGGTTGAAAATGTAACTTGAATTTTGAATTGGCTTCGAAATCGCCCCTTGGTTTTCTGTGTGTTGGCAACCAGTAATTCAGCTGAAATAACTTTTATCCTGAGATGTTTTTGAGCAAATAGTTTTCAATAATATGATTCTACTGTTGTAGTAAAACTAAATATAAAAATACGAAACAATCTATTACATTAATTTTATGATCGTTACAAAATTAAAGTATCCTGAGAAAGAATGTGTCGATTTATTTGTTGATTAAAGATCGACTTTTGTCTTCTTTTTTCACGATATTGCATTCGACCAAAGTAGTATGTCGTAAATTGGGTAGACGAATCAATGTTTATATTTTCACATTTATTAAACGCTTTTGATACCACAGCATAAGGAAATGATTCTTTTTAAGTTGAGTGGCGCCATCTAGATGTAGTTTAGTCAACGACCCCTAAAGACTGCTTAAAATTCTCTAACCTAATTATTCTCATTACTATTGTTTAAGTATACTGTAGTTGGGCAACCTAACAGAAATTTTCCTTTGCCGAAATAGTGAGCTTTAGCTTTGGGACAAGGAATCCAGCGGGTCTGGAACAATTTTTCTTCAGTGTGTATTTTCACTACAGATAGCGAATGTGTTAGGTTTATTTACTTCACGTCAGATGGCGCTATGAGACTTTAGAAATTTTGCTACGCTTGTTCAAGGAGCGCGTTTCTTCGAAAATGGTTTTCGTACTCGCTTTGCAAATATATTTTAAATATATAGTAATATAATACATTGTTTTTTTTTTTTGAAAATACAGTTCAAATGGTAAGGCAATTGAAATTTGATTTGAGTATATAGGACTATAGTGGTTGTTAATAATAAACTGTAGTTTTACAATATTTAGTAAAAGTTAGATTCTTGGTGTTAAAAAATAATTACAGAAAATGTAAAAATATATTTAGTATATAAAAATATAACAGAAAAGTTGAGAAATCGAAATGTCGTTAAATCGAAAATTAAAAAATTTTAAAAATCGAAAAATTGAAAAACCGTAAAATAAAAAAATCGAGAAGTTGAAAAATCGAAAGATCGAGAAATCAAAGTATCAGAAAGTCGTAATCAAAAATTAAAAAAATCGAAAAATTTAACTAAAAAATTGATAAATCGAATAACTTAATAACCAAAAAAACGAGGAATCTAGAAATTGCAAAAATTTTTAAAATCCAAAATTTAAAAAATCGAAAAAACGAAAAATCGAAAAATTGAAGATTCGAAAAATTGAAAAATCTAGAAATTGAGAAATTCCCAAAATTAAAATGTTGAACAATTGAGAAATCGAAAAATCTAAAATTTTAAAATTGAAGCAGCGAAAAATTGAAGGATCGAAAAACCGAACAATGAGAAATTGAAAAATCGAAACAACGAAAAATTGGAAAACTGAAATATCAAATAATCGAAAAATCGAAAAACCGAAAAATCGAAAAATCGGAACATTGAAAAATTGAAAAATCTAAAATTTAAATAATCGAAAAATTGAAACATTCAGAAATTGAAAAATTCCCAAAATTAAAATGTCGAAAAATTGAGAATTCCAAAAATCTAAAAATTTAAAAGATTGAAAAATGGAAGTTTTGAAAATTTGAAAACTCGAAATATGGAAACAAAAAAATTAAAGAACTGAAATACTGAAAAATTTCAAAATTGAAGCATTGAGTAATCGAATAATCGAAAAATTGAATAATCGAAAAACTAAAAAATCCTGAAACTGAAATAACGAAAAATAGAGGAATGGAAAACGTGAAAAATCGAAGAAAAATTGAAGAATTGGAAAATTGAGAAATTGAGAAGTCGGGAAATCGAGAAATGGGAAAATTAAAAGATTAATTAATGGAGAAATCGAAAAATCGAGAAGTCGAAAAACCGAAAAATCGAGAAATCGAAATGTCATTAAATCAAGGTATCAAAAAATTTAAAATTAAAAAATTTAAAATTTGCAGAAATCGTTATATTTATCGAAAAATTGAAAAGTAAAAAAATCGAAAAAAAGAGAAATTGAACAACCGAAAAAGAAAAAATAGAAATATCGAAAAAAATATAATTAAAAATCGAAAAATTTAAATTAAAAATTGGAAAACCGAATAAATGAATAATAAAAAAAACGAGGAATCGCAAAATCCAAAATTTAAGAAATCGAAAAAATGTAAAATCGAACAACTGAAAAATGAGAAATTGAAAAATCCCAAAACCGAAATGTTGAAAAATCGGAAAATCAAAACATCGAAAAATTGGCAAACCCAGAAATCGAAAAATCGGAACATTGAAAAATTGAAAAATACAGAAATTGAACAGCCGAAAAATAAAAAATTGAAAAAATGGAAAAATAAAAAAATTAAAAATCTAAAAGTGTAAGTAAATAAAAAAAAACGAGAAATTGAGAAATCGCAAAATCCAAAATTTAAAAAGTCGAAAAAAATGAAAAATTGAAGAATCGAAAAACCGAACAATGAGAAATTGAAAAATCGAAACAACGAAAAATTGGAAAACTGAAGTATCGAATAATCGAAAAACCGAAAAAGCGAAAAATCGTAAAATCGGAACATTGAAAAATTGAAAAATCTAAAATTTAAATAATCGAAAAATTGAAATTTCGAAAAATTGAAACATTCAGAAACTGAAAAATTCCCAAAATTAAAATGTCGAAAAATTGAGAAATCCAAAAATCTAAAAATTTAAAAATTGAAA